GGGTTACAGTCTAGTGATTAACTTTGCCAGTCTAAAAGTGTCCACTTTTTTTCCCTAATGAAGTCCTTTGTTGTGTTGGTAGTAGGTTTTGGGTCATTGTCCATTTGCATGACAAACATTCTCCCTATTAGTTTGGATGCATTTCTTTGTAAATTGGCAGACAAAATATTTCTGTATATTTATGAATTAATTCTGCTGCTACCATCATTAATAAATATGAATGAGCCTGTTGTAGAGGCACCCATGGAAGCCAAAGCAAAGATACTGCTTCCATTATGCTTTACAGATGAGTTTGTATCATAAGTAGATCCTTTCTTTCTCTTCACTTTGGCCTTTCCATTACTTTGATAGAGATTAATTTGCTCTCATCAGTTCATAAATCTCTTTTCGATTTACTAAGCATAACACTACCTGCGCATGTAACTAATTAATACTCACCATAAAATTCAGTATTAATTATAAAAATAAAAATCCAATTTTAATTGTAAGTTTCTTAAAAAAAAGATTTTGGTATTTCTACCTCTAACTCATTAATGCCTATCATCTCAAAAATAGGAAGGTGTTTATGAATGGGCATAATGTGGTCTCAAATCTGGTTTCCTCTGTTGTTTAGAAAGATTTCTATCTGGGCTCAGTTGAGTAACTTGTAAGAAGTCCGGGCTAATTCTTAGTACATTTTCCATATTTCATGTGAGGACTTTGTGAATCTAGTGAACCACAAGGTCTATTCATCATTTTTGTCTTATGGACTAGAAACAGATTTCAATCTTTGTAAGGGTCAGGTAACACTCCTGAAATTTTTTGTGAGTTTCATTTGAATGAAATCTCTCTTTTACCACACTAAAACTGATATGTGATATGGTAATCCTTTTTCTACCATTCAAGGGTACAAAGAAAGAAAGGTTTGTGTCCTTTTCATTTATACTGCTTTATAAAAACCACCAAGCAGACATTAGGAAAAGTCTATGGAAGACAAAGTGGGGTAAATGAATTGAAATAACTGTAAGTCAATTCAAATAAAAAGAAACTTTAAGAAGAATAATCAAAGTTATTTGAAAATCCATTTTTTTAATTTTGATTAATCCATTAAACACAATGAACTGAATACAGGCGAGCTTTGGCAATTTCTTATAGTCACAATTAATAAATAAACTTATAATTTAAAACTGAAATTTATTTATACTTGTGCAACAAATTGGTTTTAGATATAAAGGTGTATGTAACTTGATTTTGACAGATGTATTTCCTTTTGTTAAGCAGTATTATTAATTGAAATGTTCATGCATCTGATATAGAGGTAATTCATACAATTAATAAATGTCATAATGCACAGTTTACTGGCAGAAAGAAATATAAGCATATTGACTTTGAGAAACTGTAACATAATTTCAATTGTTGATGATTCTTTTAATCTCTTGCTATTTCTTCACTTCCCTTAGATTTGTGTAGATGAGTTGTCATTTTTGAGTTGACTGACTATGACCTGTTGTAAAGCCTCATATTTATCAATTTTTAGCAGATACAAAAACAAAGTCTTTTGAATTTACTGAAACTAACAATGACTAATTAAAAATGTTCTTTTTATAACTGAGGATGAGTTTTCTGAATTAAATTTTTAATCTCAGGTTTTATTTTTAGCAGCTTTTTCCTGGAGACTGCCATTTTGATATATAGATGTTGATTCACATTTTTATGTCTTTTTAATATACCTTTGAAATCTTTACATACTAGGTATTTTAGTCATTAAATTTTGAATATTAAAGATCATTACCTGTGTAAGGATTGATGAGCACCTTGGCCAGTGGACACAACAGTCAAAATGTTGTGATAACAACAGCAAAGATGAGGAGAATAATCTGAGTGTGAATAAGATAAATAATGCTGAAGCCAATTATCTCCATTTTCCCAGGAATAATTTACTGATGTCTTATGGATCATTTGAGAGTCATGTGACATCCTGTTGGTTGGAATAGCCAGTTGCTGCTTAGTTTATAGTGATGTGGACTTAGGGTTTAGAATGGACAATTGATTTACCCACCCACAAGAAGGTTAATGGTGGCTGGTAAATAATGAGGACACACATGGGTAATTTTAACAAAATATAAGGAATTTATTTATGAATTTACATGCTTGAAGTTGTGTCAGTAGCTCGTTTCAAGAAAATAAATCAGAAATTTTTAAAGTCTGTAGTTTCAATGAATTGTCATGAAGAGGAAATGTTCATACAACAGATTAAAGGATCTGACATAAAATAATATTAAAAAACAAAAGTAAGAGAATTTGTTGCTTACAGAAGGGTTATATGGTGGTATAAATTCAAAAGTAGACAAAAAGAGATAGTTTGAAATAAATAAATAAATGTTTTCTCTCTCTAAGCACATAATTACTTGTTTTATGGCAGAAAACGGCTTTATTTAAATAATGAAACAATTTAATTATAAATGCTATCAACAAAAGAATTACTTATAAAGACAAAAAAGGCCAGATTGGTAATGAATAACAAAAAACAATTATTTTTCAAAATTTGATTTTTAAAGCTAAATATGCAAATTAGTGATCTGAACCAAATTAACCAAGATATAAAAAGTTTTTCTAGACAAAAATAATGCATACAAATATGCACACACAAAAAGAAAAAGCATGTATTGTTAACTTTATTTGTTAACAGACAGGCATACACGGTAACTTTATATCTGAAATTTTAATACAAAAAATCTTAAATCATTGTAAAACATGTCTTTAAACTTTAGCACTCTGCATTATTAATATTATTTTCCTTTCCAATGCATTCTTTTTCAAAGCCTTTCAATTGCAGTATCCTTATTGTTAATTTCACTCAAAGTTGTTTTCTGTTGCCATAGAAGGATATGACAACACAACTATAAAATTCAAACACACTATTGTTCAGGGATCAGAGTCATCTACAGTGGCAGGATAAAATTTTGTACAGCAAATGAAGTCCCATACAAAGTGATAAAGGTTAATAATGGTAATTATAGATTCTAGAAAATATTATTTGAATAAAAATAATTATATTTTGAATAAAGGTATTTTTCAGTAAATGTATTTACAAGATTCAATGACTCTTTGTTAGGCCAATTTATTTCTAATTATTACTTTAAATGCTTTGCTTATATGAATGATGCTTTAGATGTAATTTTTATGTATTAGTATCAACAAAAAAACCTTCATTATATCTTTAGTGAATATGCAGGGTAGGTAATGGTTAGTGGTATGGAATGAGAAATTGGTGCACCGCATTCAAATTCCAGTCAGGTTTGTTGCATTCACTTTCACACAAATACTCTTGTAAAAGGTATGAATCCATCTCTTCTCTCCACTCCAAAGTAAACACTTTCTTCACTTGAGGCAGAATGTGCAATCCACATGACTGAAGAATTTCCGCCAGTGTGCATTTTCATGGGTTGATGCATCCCCACAGGTAGCACAGGCCTAATGGAAGATGGGTAATTTTATTGAGTCACTATCTCTAGACTGGTTGCCATCCAAGGCTATAGAACCCAGTCTGTCCTACTATTTACCCATAGCTGAGGAGAGAAGAGATGGATTCATACCTTTCCCAAAGGTATTAGTATGTAAGTGAATGTAATGAACTTGACTGGAATTCAAACTTCCAATTTTTCAGTCCAAGCTGCAATCCATTACTCTACTGTGACTCCAATCCATCTCTTCTTCCCCCAGCTATGGGTTAAATAGTAGGACAGATTGGGCTTTATAGCCATGTTCCACAACTAGTCTAGAAGGACAACTCTGAATTCAATACCGTATGTCATCCTGGTGAAGTGCATAATTTGCAGCAATTAAAAAGATATTGGAGTTCACAATGACTATTGATTGCAATTGTGGTTGATGTGATATGTCTTCAGTACAGATATTCATAAATTTTGAATAGAAGTAATTATTTTTTAAGTCCATGTATTCTGAATAATGGTCCATAAAGTATTTAAGTTTTGAATAAAAATATTTACAATATTTAATAACCCACTGACATACATCAAGCAAAATAATGCTGTACAGTAATATTCTGTCTGTTTGTATGTTTAACTGTAATGGTTTTATTCTTTTATCTAGGATCCTACTTTCTGCTTAATCCCTGGATCTTCTGAGCTGGAATCAATTATGTTTTATGACAGAGGAAGCTATATAATCATATTAAGCAGGAAAGAATTAAGAATATCCAAGGAGAAAAGGATGGAGAAAATAGAGTATGGAAGATGAATAATATAAGGTAAAAAAACAAGGAAAAATGAAAAGAAAACCAGGTGAAAGAGAAAAAAAGAAATATTTATATAAAGATAGGGGAAGGGATTGAAGAAGAAAAATGACTGAGTGACAGGTTTGTTGGCTGGATATCAAGAAGAAATGAACAAAAGATTGAAAAGCAGGTAGGAATGAAGAGGTAACACCGTTATGATACTTTCAAAATCAAAATGGATGAAAAACAGAAGAGAGAATGTAAAAGAAAATATCTGTGTATTTCTTATTCTTGTTTTTGTATATGAAATAAATCCATGTTTATATAAGATTTAGATAAAAACATGGCTGAGCAACAAAAGAATAAGAGAGAATGGGAAAAGGTGCGTGAGATAAAGAATTATCCTTGTTGTCAGCATGTGTAAAATTTGCATGGCTCCAGGTAATTATTTTTATTATTATGTTTTCATACATTTGTATGTTCATGACAGATATCTGATGGTTATCTCTGCAGAATGCGTGGAAGTAAGTTTCCTCAATACTCTTGCATTCTTCTCAGTATCCTAGTTTTGTTTTGTGTGTGTTTCAGTTTTTCCGTGGTTGACAATTTTTTCTATTTTTACTAGGCTCCTTGGGACTATATAAAATGTTCTAACAATTATAAGCACAAATGTCACCATCATATTTCACAGGTTTTTTCATTTCTCAGTCCTTCACTTTCTTTCATTTCTTTGACTGTTTTTCACCTTTTCATTTCTCAGATTTTCTTTTTCTTTCATTTCTAAATGTTTCACTTTCTTTCATTTCTTAGTCTTTCATTTTGCAGTCTTTCACCTTTTGATTTCTCAGTTTTTTCTTTTTCTTTCATTGCTAAATGTTGCACTTTCTTTCATTTCTTAGTCTTTCATTTTCTTTCATTTTGCAGTCTTTCACCTTTTCATTTCTCAGTTTTTCTTTTTCTTTCATTTCTAAATGTTGCAATTTCTTTCATTTTTTAGTCTTTCCTTTCTCAACCTTTCATTTTCTTTCATTTCTAAGTCTTTCACTTTCTTTTATTTCTCAGACTTTCACTTTTTCATTTCTAGATGTTGCACTTTCATTTCTCAGTATTTCATTTTCTTTCATTTCTAAACCTTTCTCTTTCTTTAATTTTGCACAGAGTGCAAAATAATAATAACTCCCTTCACCCACTTCCTTCAAATTCGGAAGACTGAGGAAGAAGAGGGAAAAGAATTTGTGAGCCTATGTAAAATTGCTTTCATTGGACCAATGAAAACCTTGCCTTAATGCAAATTAGCCAGTCAGCCAAGAAGAAAAAGAAAAGAAAGTAGAGAGCATATGTGAAATTCATTTTGATATAAAATAAGGAGAAAAATTAAATTAATCAGGGAAGAGTGCCTGATGATATGTGAGAAGTTTTTGTTTCAGTTCCTCCAGACATGTATTGAAGTTCTCACAAGTGTAAAATTATTTGTCAAATATATTATCAGCCTATAACTAAGCACGTGGCATTTTAAAGAATGTTCTTTCAACAATCGAAGAAAGCTAAGTATTTCAAATTATCTCTCTTCATCTACTTTTGAATGTTGTTACAACCCTCTGCCGTCCTCTAACCAGATCATTAGCGGAGATAGAGGAGGATCGCAACCTGTATTATTATATTTAACATGTATGTAATTATTTTGACAACTTTCTTTCCCCAAGGGTCTCTTTCTGATTGACATGGTTGAGCGGGCTGGAATTGCTTAAAAACACACACACACAGTGGGTGACAAATAACAGAAACACAAATGTAGAGTTAACAATTAAATAACTTTATTACAATAGGAAAACAATAAGAAAGATATGACGAAAACAATAAGTCAAAAAGAAATGTTGTGGGACAAAAGAATGGGAAGGGGGATATAAACTTTCAGTAAAGTAACTAGTTGATTAATAAGCAATCTTGTAGGCCTGCCTGCAAATTTACAACAACACAAAATGTATTGAGCAAAATAATAACTTAAAGAGAAACAATAACTTATCTTATTGTTACCAAAGTTCATTTTCTTTTTTATCTCTTTTAGTTTAATGTCTCTCATGTGTTTTGTCTTTTCTTTTCACTTCTCCCTTTTTCTTTTTATATTTCTCTCTTTCTTTTTCTTTTTGCACAAGTGTCTCTTTTTGAGGTCTTTTCTCTCTTTCTCTTTTTCATTTCTTTAATGTCTTTTTCTTCTTTCTTTTTCTCGTTTCTGGTCTAGGGGTTTGAATGAAAAATCAATTGAAGCTGTTGTTTTGTGGTTCTCAGTATGATGTATATATTTCCTCATGTTTTGACACAATTTCTCTCCTCTTGTGTCGAAGGTTACTTTCTTTTCTAGGTAAACCTCATTAAACTGTTTTGAGATCCAAAATCATATTGGACTTTTCTTCCTTTCGCATACATGAATTTATAGTGAGTTATAGCAGATATCGCAAACCCGTCCACTTGGCTTGGATGCCGAAGCAAGACACTCTTTTCTGCTGTGGTTGTTCTTTCTTTTCTTCTTTTTTTGTATCTTTGTTTCATCATGTGGTTCTTTATCTTCAAGTATGAACCTTTTTTTCTGGGTGGGCGGAAAGAGGTCACTGACCCTTTCTCTCATCTTTCTCTGTTCATCATCTGGACTTCATCCAGTCAAATCACATACAACATGATTAAGAGAGAAATAAAAATGTACAATCTTTCTTTGCTCACATGCATGTCAGTTTGATTAAAATCTGTCAACATTTAATTTTACTTTATCCATCTTTTTTTTTTCTATCATTACATTTTCTGAGAGTACTGACTTTTTATTTAAAATACTTCTAAAATATAAGCATGGATACAAATTCTCGGAGGGGTTTAGATGAGGGTCTATAACAATGTATACAAACCATATATCCCTTCGGTTAGCAACAAACTCTCTTACCTTTGTTTTAAACATTTTGAATATTATTTTGTGTCAGATCATTTAATCTGTTGTTTGAATATTTTCTATTTATAACAATATGTTAAAACTATGGACTTTAAGAATTCTGATTTATTTTCCTGAAACGAGCTACTAACACAACTTCAAGCGTGTAAATTTGTGATTAAATTCCTTATCTTGTTTTGTTAAAATTACCCGGGGGTGTTTCCTTGTCATTATCATCCTTCATTAATCTTCTTGGGGTGGGTAAATCAACTGTCCATTCTAATCCTTAAGACTCATGTCATGATAATTTCTCAGCCTTTAACTTTCTTTCATTTCTCAGCATTTCATTTTCTTTCATTTCTCAGTCTGTCCCTTTTTTATATTTGTAAACTTTTCTCTTTCTATCATTTCTCAGTCTTTCACTTTCTTTTTAAAGGCTTTTACTTCTTTCATTACTCAGCCTTTCCATTTCTTGTATTTGTAAACATTTCTTTTTTTATCATTTCTCAGTCTTTCACTTTCTTTCTTTTCACTTGATTTCATTTCTTAGATATTCATTTTTTTCCTTATCTTTTCATTTTCTTCTAGATTATTCTGGAATAATGAAATCAATCTTTTGACAAGTTTTCTTCTTGTTTTTAATAAATAAATTTAGCTTCTAGCCTGGACTTGTCTATTTGTATCTCAGATTCCTAGAATATTTTGCTTTTTATTCACTTCCAGTAAAACAAATGAAGTGGGCTCACTAGAATTGAAGATTGTCTCAAATTTGCTATTAATAAACTTTAGTACTATATAAGCTAGAATAATACAAAACTAAGCTACTGGAAGTGAATAAAAAGCAAAATATTCTGGGAAAGAAAGAAAGAAAGTGAAAGACTGAGAAATGATAGAAAAGAAAATGTTTACAAATACAAGAAAAGGAAAGGCTGAAAAATGAAAGAAGTAAAAGCCTTTGAAAAGAAAGAAAGAAACTGAAAGACTGAGAAATGATAACCCACCACACAAAAATCATTGTATTCTTTCTTGTCTAATTTATTAAATAATTAATGGTTTCATTTGGGCACTACACATTCTCCATTTTCTTGTTTTGTCTATCTTACTGTTGTGGAGTGATTTCACAGTGGAGGCTTGTATTTGTACTAAGTTGGTCCTAAAATAGGTTCGACGTACAAAATGTTAGGAACTTGATATAATAGGTATAATGCAGAGTAATCTAGTTGTGGTCGCTGATACTTTAGTATTCGACTAACTGTCATCTGACATCGACTTACTGACCGACTGCCTCGTTACTGTTACTACTCTTACTTATTATAGGTGGGAGAGTCTATTTACTATAGAATAGGTGTGTTTCACTATAACACTTACCTTTTACATAATTGTATCTTATTACTTTACTCTTGACTGCCATTAAAAATAGCTCACTTTTTCTCTTTAGATGACCTCCTGTATGCTTTCAAGTTGCTTTTGAAGTGGCTATTCTGTTACATTTATTTCCATTTTTAGTTTATTGTTTTTGTGTTTTCTGCTTCTCTATTTGTCCTGTTAAATCTATTGGGTTGCCATAATTTAGTTTTCTATTATTTTAGCTTATATAGTACTAAAGTTTACTGATAGCAAATTTGAGGCAATCTTCAATTCTAGTGAGTCCACTTCATTTGTTTTTCTGTTCCAAATTTAGTCTATCATTATTTTGTGGATAAAATCTTTTGGAATTGTTTTCAAATTCATTATTTTCTATTTCGCCTTCCTAACTTTTTTTTCTGGTTAGTTTAAGAAGGGCTCAGGAAAATAATAATAATAAAATAAAAAACAATATAAATAATATTACATTAAATTAAACATACATCCAAATGACAATGCTGTTATATAAATCTATGACCTCAAAAGTCCAAAGTAGTCAAAATGTTTCAATTTTTTAAAATAAGAAATAATAACTAGAAAGGTTTTTTTCAGATTAACATTATCATTTGTTTCAGCTGTTCATAATGCTATTATTATAACAAAATTCAATGTTTAATTGTATGAAATTGCTGGAATGTGAACTAGAGGGGCCACTAATTGGATAATAATTATTAAAATTCTCACAAGAGCAGACTGAACGGTTGGGAAAAAAATGGCAAAAGAAACGAGATAATAATTATATTTTAAACAAAATAAACTTAACAATAGTTCCAAAACGAATTGAACTCAGAAATTAAGCACAACCAATTTTTCCCCCAAACTATTTACTTTTCTCCAATAAGAAGACAAAATTAATGTGCTGTCTGAATTATTTGGTCCTGAGAACACAAATTCGGGGTTTGTTTACATTATTATTTGCCCAAAACACATATCTTTACAGACAAAAATTGACAAAGAAAGTAATATTGTTTATGCTGACATCCTAACTCGGGGTTTGTTTACATTAATGCTATTCATCCAAAATGCTATTATTCTTACAGAAAATGAGTGACTGAAATTCTTTAATAAAGAAAGCTATATAGTTTATATGAAGATTTCCTAAGATAGGACTATTGGAAGTGGAAAAATTAGATATATCAATGTCAAATTTTAGGAGGGGTACTATATAAATGAAAACCCATGGAGTCCAGCAAGAGAGTTGTCAGAGATTTACTCCAGATTGCATCATGGATTGTTGTCACTTCATAAGAAGCCCCATATTTCCATGGCTGGAGCAAACATACAGACACATGCAAGACAGAAGAATTAAGTGAGAGATGACAGTGCTAGTTTTGTTTCAATAATTACTGCTATATTTCTCCAGCCACCATCCAGCAGAGTAGAACTAATCCTTTAGTAGATAACAGAAACATGTTATTCTCAAGTTTTAATATTCAATAAATTTGTTGTTAGTGTTACCAACAGTGTTGTCTACTTTATTGAAAGAGTTCTCATTCTAGCCTTGATTTCTGACAATATCGTGGATGCAAAAAATAACTTACCACAGCCACAGTAAAGAATTACTTATTTCTTATCTGCGGTATACAATGTAGATTTTGGTCCACCATTAGGCATTGCTGTCAACCTCATAAAATTTTAGAAAACCCAAATAAACCCCTTTGAGGCAACACACCAGCCCCAACTGAGGAGGGAAAAGAAAGTTGGATGACCTGTAAGGTCAATGTTAATCAACAAAGCTAGCAGAGATAGTGACTGAAGGAGGTTGAAGGTTACACAATAACTAATTTATTCTTTAACATCTGTCTATATTTCTGAAATGAAACTATTGTAACTATTTACATTGTACTTTTGTCCTCGTCTTTATTGCTATATTCATGATGACATTTCAGCCATTGTATGCTTCATCCTTCTTCAGGTGATATACGTTGGAATTTCAAACTGAACCATTTATTTAGTCCATGAGGGCAGATTGTTCTAATTCTACCCTTTAGTAACTCAACTCTTCAAGTTCTTGTTCCTGCTGCTGTGGCCAGGTTTTGAACTCACAACTCTTTGTGTCAAGTCACTTTTGGATCACTCAACCAATGCTTTTATTCACTGCCTCATGTGTTTCTCTAATTCATTCTTAGCATGATTTTTATAACAGTTAGTTAATTTTTAACATTATAACAGTTAGTTAATAACATTACTTTGATCATCATCATCATCGTTGTCATCAGTCCCATAACCAGGTGTGTTTGTAGGGTCGCTGTACAGCTGAGCACCTAACTAACTCTCTCCAAATGTTGTGTGCCAATGTCTAAGTTTCTGTCAATGATCTTCCAGTTTACAGTTCACTCAGTGACATATAGAAGCTATTACAATTGTGGGCTATTGTGGCATAAGGAAGGCTTTCTTACTTTGCTCAAGTAGCAACAATAGAAATAATCAGCAGGGTACAACTAGAAGTCTCAGAAGTCATGAAAGCCCTAACAGAGCCCCATTTGGCTTCTTTCCCACTTTTCATTTTTTCAGTGGCCTCTACCTTCAAGGCCAGCTCTCTTTTCCACTTTTCCTTTACAGTGGCTACAACCTTCAAGCCTAGCTCAAAGGCCTACTTGACTCTTGTTGCAGAAGATGAGGCCTGTCCTGGTAGTTTGAATTCAGATTTTTTGTTCCTCTCATAGAGACAGGTGGAGAAATCTCCTTCCAAGACATCTACCAAAGGAAAAACTGCACACAACCCTTGCTGCAGGAGACTCGTACCAGTCCTAACAGTTTCACACTCAGATTTCTCATTCCCCCTGTGGAACAAGCAGAGAAATCTCTCTCAACAAAACATCTCAAGAACTTTGTTAACTGGGAAACCCCATTTTTCCCCCACAAAATACTACTATTTTGCACTCTTTTTCAACCAGAAATAAAAGCCATTGAACAGTTATTTTCATCCTTGGGTTTTGTTCATTTCACTTCGACTGCTGAACACACACAAACACACATGCAACTGGGAAAAATTCCTACAAAAATTGTCAGGCCATTTCTTTCTTTGCCTGCCTTTTCCTCTTTTTGCCTAAGAAGATAACTTATAGGATGGCAATGGAAAGATTATTTCCTTTTATGATGTGGCCATATCATATCATTACTTTGTTATAAAACCAATTCATTCTTGATATCTTTTTTTATCATTGATTTATTTCATATCACTTTATTAAAAGCAATTTTTTGCATAACTTTATTCTAATTAGTTAATTCTTAATATTAATTTTATTAGAATGGCTTATGTGACATTCTCTTCAGGACATGTGCATTCATGGCTCTCCATAATTTCCTATTGTTTATAGCTTTGTAATGTTTTCTTTTCCTATTCTTCCCAATCTCTTCTCTGCCATCCATCTACACAAGCTCACTAGGTCATTTGCTATTTCCCTCTGTCCTTCTTGTCTTTAATATGTCCTGTGAGTGTCAAATTCTCCAGGCCCTTTTTTCTCATTATGTGTCTCATAAATTTAAATTGTCACTTTTCTGTTTCCATTTTCCTTTAAACTTCCTTCTTGCACATATGCTCTGTTCATGACATTCTTAGCATCTTTCTGTAGAACCACATCTCTGTTGCTTGAAGTTGTTTCTTCATCTGTAAGGAAAAATTGTCCAGCATTCACTGCAATATAAGAAGATTGATATTACATAGCAATTCTGCACCAATTTCTGGAATTACTGTACTTGCCATATAGTAATACTTATATAGATAATAGCTGAGATAATTAAGATTTGTAATGCTACAAGTACCCACCTGTCAAAACAGGTATGAAACACCTGTAAATTAAGATAAAAAGTACCAATATCTAGAATAGCATATAACTTGAACAAATTTGTGTACCTGAAACTAAAAATGTGCAAAAGGTGTAAATATTGCATGAACTATGTAAACAATTAAAAGTCAATCATGGCACTACAAAATAAAATGTTGCAGGTGCTAAATCGGACAAAATATGGTGTTGGTTGGAGACAAGTCAAATGTTAAATTTTAAAGACTACTGATTTTTACTTACAATATTTACATGCAGACTATTGTTTTCAATATATTATCACATTTCAGTAGTTTTGGCCTCCAGTCTTCATCAAGTGCTTGTTGATTAGGTTAACTTTCAGGCATT